TTTATACATCTTTAAAAAGATTCTGAAGTTGAATCAAACGAGTTGAATTAAACTGATCAGATTGTTTTTTTTTTTCAATTTACTTCAAACAAAATAGGACACAATAAGACTACTCCCTATGTGTTTAATCTCAGTTGCGTTGAAATACTTGGATTACAGATCTTATATCAATCGAAATTACTTATTTCATCATCACTATACACCAAGAATTGTTATAATGCGTACGTGAAACTCACGTCGAGGACCACGGATTTAAGACGCATGTAAAAAAATTATAAATTACTTATGTTAAACATACACAAAACTTGTGTTGCCGTAAAACATAGTGTAAAATCACCCTGTATAACGCATGTTATATGGGTAAACGTATGTAAAACGTGTAGGGGCCTCTACAGGCCTCTGTAGCCGAGTGGTTAAAGTAGTTCATCTTAGTAAAGATAAAACAAAGTAGTTCATCTCCTGTAGCACTAGCCTGTCAGCACTGAGGTTGTGAGTTCGAACCCCGCACGTTACATATGAGTTTTTGATTCCACTTTTGATTGACTAGGATTGTGAGTTATCCTGCCGAAGGTCGATGGTTCTCTCTGGGCACTCCGGCTTTCTCCACCAACAAAAACTGACCGCCAACAAATAGACAATTATATAAAGTGCTGAAAGTGGCGTTAAACACCAAAAATCAATCAATCATAAGCATTTTTGGTTAATTTTATTGTTTAGTTGCTGTCTGATTGACTTATAACCGACCTCTCCTTTTCTTCATATTGATGTAAACATATAGTCTCTGATGTATGATTTTTTATTATTAATTGTTTTTGGCTCTTAACTAGCTTTCAGCAACTCTCAAATAGTATTTCGTGTTAATTTGACCTGTTGACACAATTTCTAATGCAATTCTGTTATTCAATGTTTACTTATTTTGTGTTATTATCTCGTCTTACTATTTTTAATATGTACTACCTTTGATAAATATTTAGTATGACGAAAACATTTTCACTTCTGTACTCGTACTATGAATAACAAATTTATATTGTAAAAAATGTTTCTGCATTCCTAACAACAAAATTATTATATTTAAATTTACCTGTGTACATTACTTTATCTAACGCCATTTTGTCCTAGGTTAAAGTTGTCTTTTTGGCATTGAAACATCTCTTGTATTTATATTGTGTCATAGATCAAACTTATTCGTTCAGTGTATATTTACCTGTTTTTGTGTATTTTCTTTTTGATGAGTTAAGCCATTTCAATTGATATTTTAGTGTGTCTTTTTATGTTGTAATGTTATACCACTGTGTCAGGTTAGGGTGAAGGTTGGCACCTGTTAAAACGTTTAAACCCGCTGTATTTTCATGCACCCGTCCTAAGTCAGGAGCCTGTTGTTTAGTGGTTGTCGTTTGTTGATGTGGTTCATAAGTGTTTCTCGTTTCTCGTTTTTTATATAGATTAGACCGTTGGTTTTCCCGTTTGAATTGTTTTACACTAGTCTTTTTGGGACCTTTTATAGCTTACTGTTCGGTGTGATCCAAGGCTCCGTGTTGAAGGCCGTACTTTGACCTATAATTGTTTACTTTTTACACATTGTGACTTGGATGGATAGTTGTCTCATTGGCAGTCATACCACATCTTCTTATTTATATATATGTTAAATTCAATTTAATTGCATTTACCGGTACTATTGAAAAGAAAAGAATACGAGTTTTCAAAACATACGTTTTACATCCGTTATAGCGCAGCCGTTAAACGCATGCTTATTCCGTTCACAAAACTTATATTTTACACAAGTTTTTTTTAAAAATACGTAAAACACGTTTCATTTTTTGCTGGATAGATTTTTTTTTATCATTTGAATAAATGAAATTTTTGTTTTAAAATAAATATTTTCAATTACCAAAGGGGTATATGATTAAACACTGCTTCGATTGGGGGTAAACGCAACTGACCCTAAGATATTAACAAATTTACCATCAGTATATAAAATTTCTCTAACCCTTATACATGACAAAATTCAAATATTGAAATGAAAAGAGTGTTAACACAAACAATTAAAGCAAAAGCAACACTATTCTCTGGAAAAAGATCATTTTAGGATGACCCGCATGCAGTACTAGTTCCTGGTTCATAAGTGGCACTTATCTTATTCATGACAAGAAAGAAATCCGATTGATGGTAATGGTCGTCACCATTAAAAACCCCTTGGTATAATGGCTTCCTTTCATAAATTTGATGAAATCGTTGCGATCGTCCTAGTCACAAAACTTCGAATTTTCTGGCGAAATAACATCCTCTTTAAAGCGAAAAGTGAAGTTAGATACTAATCTCCTTTCATTCATTCTCTTGTGAAGTTCATATATCCTATATATCTCATGCGAAAGAAGGAACATTGCAGCGATAACAGGAGCACAGAACATTTTGTTTACCATAGTAATTCCGACTGTTTGTTGATAACATTTCCACATAACGCAATAATATGTTGTCATGAAAAATAATCTTACACCTTGATGATGTCACTTTTTCGGAGAACTTTTTGTTTGAAATAGAATCGGTTTAACAAAGTATGAATTGGCCCTTCATATGAGAAGATGTTTGGCCCTTGTGTATAATTAAAAGTAGTTTGGCAAATTTCTAAAATCAGTTGATAATTTTAGAATGAAGAACACTTGTGCAAATGGGCAAAGACGTCAAATATTTTTTATACTATTTCACAAGGAAGGTGTCTTGGATTGTATGTACTCAAACAGATCTCTGAATAATTTATATCTATATATCAGACCACCATAAATAAGATAGATCGCAGTAGCTATGAATGAAGGGTAAAAAAGGTGTTGAGTAAACGCCAATGAGACTGCAACCCAAAGAAACATAAATTTTTTTGTCAGTAGGCAAATTCGTTTGATTTTGAATAATCGTTCAAAATTGAAAATCTAAATCGGTCATTTTAAATTCTTTTGCTACTTAATATTTTAATTCAACTTTCTTTTTTACATGCAACATTAATTTTGCCAATATACAGTTGGGACTATACACCAACGAAAACAATTATTTTGTTCTTAAAGTCATCTGAAAAGTCTGAATGATAGATTATTCAGTCATGTTCAATCTTTAAGTCAATTTTCAGACTTATTCAATTCAATGCGATTCATTCATTAGTTCAAACAATTCCATTAAAGTCAGTTCAATACTGTTCAGTAGCTTTTCAGACAATTCAGTACGAAGATGATGCTTACAGGCAAATAACAACTACTGAACAGTCTGAACATAGACTGAACAGATCTTAATTGACTGCAAGCGAAATGTCTGAACGGTTCTGAGTTTACCGCAATGGATAAGTCTGAAAATTACTCAATTATTCATTGTTCGGTCATTTACGAGCTGTTCAGTTCAAAATGACCGTTTCAGATCAAAATTTGTTTACAAATGTAAGGTAGATATAGTAACTGTCGATTCCGACAGCAGGAATCTAGTTTTATTTTGCATTTTAAGTGTGACATGATAGATGACGTACTGGACATTGTAGCTGGTATTAAAAGCTCAAACATATCTCATTTTACTTCATTTTCAAATATAGGAGATGTATGGCACCTAAAACATAATTACATCGAAAAAAACGCACAACACAGAAAACTTTATTCTTTGATGTGATATGTTTTGCTATATACGCATGTTTACCATAGCCAGAGTAATTAATTGTTACATATTGCGGAAGCTGTAACATTAGATGAAAATATAACAACTGTTAACACACTAACATTAAGAATATAAATCGAATTTCTGATTTGATATTGAATAATTGTTTACCATGAATTTACGCTGCAATCTCTCTACATGGCCATTTAATTTAAACGGTAATTAATCCCTTTGTGACATAGTTAAAGCTGGTATCAACGAATCTTAAAATGTCCATATAATTGGGTTTTAATTCAAAAGCTTGGTTTCAAAGAGGATAATATGATTTATTTTACTTTATGCAAATTTCTTATATTATCCATTCGTGTCATTGGACACGCGGCATTTGTTAATTTTCACTAACCTTTCATACGCCCCACCCACCCATAGCAACATGTGATGATATTAGCAACGGGTGTTAACGTCTAAAAGTTACACCCGCTGAGCCCGAGGTTTGCCGATCCGGAACAATTAATACCCGCTACGGCCGAGGTTAACCGATTCTTATTTCTACACCATTTCTGTCGTTTTGTTGTTGTTATAAGTAAACTATCTTAATTTATGACTTTATTTTTTTTTTTACAATTGTCCTCCTAATAAAAAAGTGCACACTAGAAAAATACGTCACTTTTTGTAGCATTGATACATTCGTGTGCGCACAGTTTATAATTCGTTGTGGTGTCTTGGTGTACTTTCGTAAAGTCATCGGAGGTGTCCGTTGTTATTCTGAGGTTTATATGTAATGTACTATTATATTATTTATTTATGTTTTTCTCTGTCCTGGATGTTCTTGCGTTTATTTGTACTGTATTCCTGTCACGTAATATTGTCATTTTAGCGGTATTTTTAACATTGCCATATAAGCGGGAGGTTTGGCTAGCCGTAATACCAGGTTCAACCCATCATTTTTTCTTAAAATGTCCTGTACCAAGTCAGGAATATGGTCGTTGTTAATAAATAATCCTTTTCTATGTATGTTGGAGATTGTTTTTATTGCAATTCAGTGTTTCTGTTTTTCCGTTGTTTTCCTCTTATAGTTGATGTATTTTCCTCGGTTTTGGTTTGTGACCCAGATTTGTTTTCGCTTAATCGATTTATGACTATTAAACAGCGGTATACTACTGTTACCTTTATTTTTCAAGGTCAGGTCGAAATATTTGACAACTGTTACTTATTTTTTTTCGCGATATGCCGAATGACAGCCGTGTAATTGAATTTACTATTGATGGCAATTTAACGAGATATAAAAACGAGAACGATTTGTTCATAGACACTTTAGATGTAATATTTCTTTTTGATGTGGTTTGTAATGCCATATTAACATCTACAGATCACTATTCACAATTAGGTTTTTTTATTTGTTCAAATCTACAAATTATGCTATAAAAGCAATGATTTAAAAGTATGATCTATAGTTAGTTAATGTTCATATAATGTTTGAGTAAAATATTTAGTCAACAGAATTCTGAACAGCAAAATCAAGTAGTCCATATACAGGATCAAGTTGGACTGTCTGTTTGAAGAGATTCCCATCCGGTCCAGAATATTGAATGATGAACTTTGTCTTAATGCAAGGTTCGTGTGTTCTATTGTTGTGTTCAACTAAATCAATAAGTGATACGTCCATTCCTTGTTCTATCCAATGGAGAGGTAAAGCATTTGGCTTTTCTGACAAAATTGCAACCTAAAACATAAAATAAATATCAATTAAGTCAATCAAAATGTATTTCACAATAAAGTTATTCGTACATACATTTTTATGCACTTGTATAAATGTGTTCTTCAACAGATTAGAAAAAAACTCTCATGTACATGAAATCATTGTTCTTTTTCATCTTTTTTCTTCGTTGTGATAAATACAGAAGTAGTATACATAGATCAGTACAGCACACAAGTGCAAAATTCACAAAATAGTGCTTTGTAGCCTTTGAAGAGATTTTTTCTCATTTTCATTTTAGCATGATTATTGTATAAACTAGTACTTAAGTTTAAAATTTAAATTTTCGCACTTGAAGACAATTCGACATCTTCGAAATCTTTCTTGACATGTGAATTCTGTGTTGATCTCCATAAAGAAAATAATCGTCTATGATGTTGCCAACTGTATAAACCATATCAACATGTCTGAATAATGGAATATCGTCAACTTTGACCTTGATTGATGACATAAACGGATAATTGTTCATCGATGGTACATCATCATAAAAGCTCACAGTATGAACCACGCCCGTTGATGATTCTAAAATTTCTCCTATAACCATTTCTGTATCAATCTGCATAAACACGTTGCTTTGCCTTTTGCATTTGTTTGCATTCTCTTTAGTTTCTGTTCGGTATTTTTCAGTATCTGATGCGTTAAGAAACTGGAATTTAACAATGGCTTGATACTGGTGACCTGGTATTTGAAGATTTGTTAGATAATCACAGAAAAATGTGTTTTTAAACATTCTGCCTGCTACCAAAAACGGATGTACTGAGGGTTTATCTGTAATCTGCATAATAAAATAGAAGAACAAATTATTTAATCTACGCTTGTACTTAATTTTACAGAATCATATCAAATATAATATCAGATACGCTCTGTATTTTGGTTATTCTTCATATCGCTTATCTTACATTTTCTTTTATTTGTATGTAATATTCATCTTTATGGGGAGCAGTTATTTCGTCTCCATGCTGTTCATCTTTTATCTTATCTTAATCCTATCTAATATTCATCTTTTGGAGGAGTGGTTATTTGGTCTCCCTGTCGTTCATCTTAGAACAGTCACATCCGGTTGCGACATATGGAACAGAGTCTGCTTCCCCTTTCAGAGCACCTGTGTTCAACCCCTGTTTTGGAGGGATTCGTGTTGTTCAGTCTTTAGCTTTCTGTGTTGTGTTTTGTTTACTGTGTCTTTCGCCGTTTTTTTTTTTTGTTTTTCTTTGCCATGGCGTTGTCTGTTTGTTTTTGACTTATGAGTTTGAATATCCCCTTGGTAAAATGTATCTTCCGCCACTCTTAAAACTTTAGGAATTTTGGGTCTTCAATATGCTCTTCAATTTCGTACTTTATGTGGTTTGCACTATTTGGATTCGAGCGTCACTAATTAGTCTTTTTGTAAACGAAACGCGAGTTACGTACATAACTTTGAACCTGGTATCTATGATGAGTTAATTTTCATAATTATGTTATTCATATCTAAGATTCATCTTTGGAAGGAGTGGTTATTTGGTCCCAATGTCGTGGCGTTCTTCTTGCATCTTATTTTATACATATCTAACATTCAAGTGGTTATTTTGTCTCCATGTCGTTCATCTTATGTCTTATGTATGCATATCTAACATTCATCATAACAATTAAGCAAAGCAACTGGTGGAGTGGGTAAGATCACGTTAAAATTATTCTTTCTTTTCTTTTGGAAAAACAACAGTTAAGAAATATAATATTACAATTAAGACGCCTATGTTATTTAAGAATATCACAATACAGGTTCATTAGGAGAACGTTGAATCATTGCACTAAAGGGAACGTCAACAAGATCAAAATATACACGAGAATGATTGCTGAAGTACTAATATCTGAAAATCTGTTTGCAACGTGTCTTCTAGTTGAAAACAGGTATTCTTGAGTATACCCGTTAAATATATAGTGGTTTGCCAATTGAATTTAACAAACTTGTTCAAGAAAGCATTTGTAAATATATATAAAAATTTTCGATGATATGAAAAAATCTGCTGAAGATGTTTCTAATGTATTACGATTCTACAATTAAATAGTGGCAAAACGAAACAGGAACACACCCATTTGTTTGAAATGCGACAACTATTTTTTGAGAGTGGATATATTTAAGTTGGCATGATATTAAGCAATTAAATTATTTGGTAAAATTGTTAATAAGGTTCCAGGGTTTTTTCATGGAAAATATCTAGCACGTAAATCAAAGTTAATTTCTCTCGCCATGTAATTGGAATCATATCTAGTTTACTATTTTTTTTTAATTTTAAGGCCAGTAAAGGATAACTGATTCTTAACAATTACCCCATACTTGTTTTTAAAAACATAATCATACCAAGCCAATAGTATCTAGGACTATCTGCCTAAATATGGATCCATTCATCTCTACTTGATTGTTGTAGACAATCCAAGGATTCTTTGCAAAATTCAACAAGAATTCAATTCCTGCAGTCCCTTTTAGCTAAACAAATAAACATTATGTTATTTCATTATGTACTTAGTCCGGACTGTGCCTTTGTTAGATGTATTGCTGCTTTGTACCTATCTGATGAATTAAGCCATTATAAACTGATTTTTATACATTGTTCTTATGTTGTGCTGTAACACCACTGTCCCAGGTTAGGGGAGGGTTGAGCGCTCACAAAGTTTAACCCCACCACATTCTTTATGTGCATGTCCCAAGTCAGGAGCCTGTACTTCAGTGGTTGTCGTTGGTTCATGTCTGTCATATGTGTTTTGGTAAATTGTTTTGTTATAAATTAGGCCGATATTTTTACCTCAATTGAATTGTTTCATATGTTTCTTGTCGGGGCCTTTTATATCCGACTATACGGTATGGGTATAGTACGGTTGCCTATCATTGCTTACATGCACTTCAGTTGTACTTTAGAGGATAGTTGTCTCATTAGCAATCATTCCACATCTCCTTATTTTCACATTTTACATTTATATTAATCATAGCACAAGTCTAAGCCTGGCTTTATTCTGGAAAAGTTCTTCGAACGCATTTCTTAAACATTCTGTGTATTTCTTCTGAAATCATTTCCATCGGATCAAATTTAGAAATTATTGCGTGCATTATTATTGTGATTTTTGAAAAATTAACAAAAATGTGAATTTAAATATTGCGATTTTAGGAAAAGTTTCATACATATATATGTATCATATATCAGAATGCGGGTTTCTTATTATTGAGATATTCAAGGAGTCGCATTATTCGTATTAAGTGCCAGTCTTTGTAAGAATCAGGCAATATTGAAAAAATTCAAAACATGGCCGGAAAAAAAACCACCGACCTTAACATCCTATTTTGAAGTTACCCTAATCCTGAGTTAGAAATGCTTGGTCTTTTGTTTCTGCATGTCTGGTAATTCGAGAAATCTCTAGATAAATTTTGGTTAGAATGATAGCAAATAATGGAGTTAGCTCCCCTTAATTGTTAATCTATAATGCATTTCAACTAAATTATTTTTTGAATAACCAGAACAGGAAAAGGAAACGAAAGTTATATTTGTACACCATTAAACATTTTGAACATAAATCAATGTAAACTTGAGCGGGTTTTTGTTTGTCATGTTTTCACCACTGCCTGATTCTTAGGCATATTGGCACTTGATAATAATCTCATATTCATTTCTGAATTTACAATAATTATTTGTGTTGAAATGCAAGAACATCATAATGGTGGGGAATAAGTAAATCACCATGGTTGACTACATATTATTTTACATAATTTTTTAACATTTCCCATTTAATTAATTTGTACTCTTTTGTATCTAAAAACAATTGTACTCATTTGCGACTTATAAAATTGAATACAAATGTCATCAGTTTTCTCTTTTTAACGACACACAGACTCTTTCATGTTATCTTGTGTATAGATTTTAGAATTTTTTAGATTTATTTTATTTAAAGTGCATCCTAATACTATATACATAATATAACACCACAATTACAATTCAATACATCAGCAATAGTATACTATATCAGCTAGCCTTTAGAGGCTTATGAAACACTAGCAATATTCATACAAGCATATAAACATACAAAGAAAATATAAACTGTAAATTAATCTTTCTAAATCTGACGTTATTATAATTTGTTAAAACAACTTCTGTTTCTTTTTTTTTTCTTTTTTTTTTGTCATTGTTCTATAATGTCATTGCATAAGTGGCATTTTTAATGTAAAGAAACTGAATTTTCATTTAAAAGTAGAATGGTATGCAACGTCTACGTATACATATACTGGGAAATCATAAGCATTGTTGTTTCCCCTAGTACATAGCATTAATAACTAATTAAAATGTATATTCAAATCTGTGTAAGTGTCTAGTGCTACATGTAGATTCTGTGTATATATATATATATATATTCCTAACATCACTAAAGAGACATTAATTGTCGAAATCCAGATATGTTGTACAAATTTTTGCACCTCATGTTTGCGCAAGTTTATTGTTTTCTGTTTGGTAATAAATAAATAATAAGATCTATTTTGTTACATCTTGTGATCCGTTTATTTGGCAATCGCCAATGGCAGTCAGCAGGGTTTAAGAACATCAGTTGTTCGACCTGCTAGTCAAATGCGTTTTGTTAAAATATAATTTTTCACTCATTTGGTCTTTTGGAAAATGTTTTTTGTGCTGTATTTAGACCCCTCTACCAAGAAATTTGTTTTGCATGCACACGTATAAAAAATGCGTTTTTTATCCAACACAATCATAGGTTTGAACGTTGTTTTCAATTTAGACTTGTTTATATTTTTTTGTTTGGGCTTGTATTATATTTGCCTTCTGGTTTATATGATCCAAATATTTTCTCTTCTCCTTCTCGCCGTGGTGTCCCACTCGGTGTTGACTTCTATGATTTGGAAAGTAACATTATCAAAAGAATGTTTCGTTGAACGAAGATGTCTAGTGAGAGGACAGTTTTTGTTGGTTTTGTACCATGAACGATGGTTATTGAGCCGAATATTAAATTTGTCCATTGTTTCTCCCACATACTGAATGCCACAAGTGTCACATGTTAATATATAAATTGAGTTCTCCGTTTTACAGTTGGAATTTGAGTAGATGGTATAATTTTGTTTAGTAACGGAGCTGATGAAAGAACTGCTTGTATTGGCAGTTTTACAACACAAGCAGTTCCTTCGACCACATTGTTTGTAGCAACCGGGAGATGGAGTAGGCTGCTTTGCTAATACAGATGTCACTAATTTGTCACGGATGTTTTAAGGTCTTCTGAAGGCCATGACTGGTGGTGAGGAAAATACTTTTTAAGATTTGAATCATTTTCTATAATTTTCCAATGCTTCTGAACAATGGAAGACACATTTTTAAAATCAGGATGGTAAGTGAGTACAAGGGGTGTTCTGTTAGCTGCTTTATTCTTATCTTTGTACTTTGAACGAAACATTCTTTTGATAATGTTACTTTCCAAATCATAGAAGTCAACACCGAGTAAGACACCACGGCGAGAAGGAGAAGAGACAATTTTTGGATCCACCAACTCCACACTTTAGAACCTGATGGTCTTAACGAAAAAGATGAGAAAAGATACAGGAAAGATAAAGAATAATTTAGTACACAGCATCGTCCTTTTTATCCTGTAATATTGGCCAATGGACTTTGCTAACTTCAACTACCAATTTTGTAAAAATCTTGAACTTCATCCAAATTGTGTATTATTTTCAAGGCAGCTAAATTCAAGTGCAACATATACATTGAGCTGCAAAAGTTTCTTATCATCTACATCCGATTTCACCTGGATAGATGCACGCTTGATAAAACTAGTTAGTCTAGCGAAATATTGCATTTATTTTCATCATTTTGTAAATATTTTAAACATTCTAATATTTACATACTAAATAGTGTTAAAATTACATTGTTAGGCAATCTATAATTTTATTTGTGTAATTGAATTAATCTCTGTACTGATTAATCCACACTCCCATAGATTTGTATGTCATGTGCTTCTATTTATAGGCACTTGTGTATATATATATATAAACAAGTACCCTCCCACGTCCGGTCTGTGTTTTTGTTAGATGTATTTCTGCTTTGTATCTATCTGATGAGTTAAGCCCTTTTTAACTGATTTTTATAGTTTGTTCTTATGTTGTACTGTTGCACCACTGTCCCAGGTTAGGGACTGGTTGGCGCCTTCAAACTAGTTTAACCCCACCACATTCTTATGTGCCAAGTCAGTAGCCTGTAATTCAGTGTTTGTCGTTTGTTGCTATATATCATATTTGTTTTTCGTTCATTATTTTGGACATAAATCAGGCTGTAAGTTTTCTCCTTTGAATTGTTTTACATTTGTTATTTCGGGGCTTTTTATAACTGATTATGTGGTATGGGTTTTGTTCATTGTTGAAGGCCGTATGGTGACCTATAGTTGTTAATTTCTATGTCATTTGGTCTCATGTGGAGAGTTGTCTCATTGGTAATCATACCACATCTTCCTGTTTTTATATATAAAAAAACATCAGTACCATTAAAACCTTTCATAGATATAAATATATATAGAATTACAAAAAAAAATATGTATGTCTACGCACATTGAAAAACCTATCCCTGCGAACCTCTGCAATGGAAGCAAGACGAGTCGCCCCACTGCCAAATCGCCCCACACCAAATCGCCCCACTTTTCGACCAACTCGCCCCACTTTTGATAAAGGGTAAAATCAAGTCAAATGTACTCCTGCCAACTCGCCTCATTTATGAAAAAGGGTACTTATGTTTATGTTCATACCTATCATCTGAGAATTAAATTATGTAAACATCGATGACTTTTGACTTATCTTGTAAAACAGTGCTTTAAATTTACCAGAAAACAAACGTCATAAACAGTTACAATGGTCAATAACATCATACACCACAGAAATGTTGATACTTCCTTCTTTCTGATTTATTTCAACCAAAAGAAAAGAAGTATAAAAAACAAGATGTATTTCTAAGGTTTTCATCAGTATTCATTTTAAAATTCCTATGTGGGGCTAGTTGGTAGGCCTTAATTCAGTACAGTTTAATTCTTTTTTTCATTAGTGGGGCGAGTTGGCAGACCTTTATTCAATGGGATTAAACTCCTTTTCATAAGAAGGGCGAGTTTGTAGTCCTTAATGCAGTCAGATTTTATTCCTTTTTTCAAAAGTGGGGCGAGTTGGCAGACCTATATTCAACGGGATTTAATCCTTTTTCATAAGTTTGGGGAGTTGGCAGGAGTAAATTTAACGAGATATTCCCTTTTTTATGGGGCGAGTTGGCAGGCCTTTGATCATTGGGATTTTACCCTTTTTCACAAGTGGGGCGAGTAGGTAGAAAGTGGGGTGAATGGTGAAAATTTGGTGTGGGCGATTTGGCAGTGGGGCGATATGTCATGGATTCCTCTGCAACATTAGCTTTTGAAATTTAAAAATACTTATTTTGCCTCTTTATATTTGTTCTAATGTGTGTCAAATGTTTTAAAAATAACAAACTGCATAGTTACTTTTTTTTTGCATTTTTTTTTACAGTTAATCCACACACAAAATTATAAGGTATAATATGTTAAAATCTTATCACCATGCATGATTAGTTATATAATGAAATTTTAATGTGTATTTCATCTTTAAAGTTATATGTCTTTGTTTCTGTATCATAGCTATAATATTAAAATAAGAATAAAACAGTCTGATCATAGACTGTACAGATCTTAATTGGCAGCAAGCAAATTGTCTGAACAGTACTGAATTTACTGCAGTTGATAAATCTTACAATTTACTAATACACTGAAAATTACCAAGTTTTTTATTATTCAGTCTTTAAGAACTGTTTAGATCAAAATGACCATTTCAGATCAAAATTTGTTTACTAATGTTATGTTATTAGTTCTATTTTTATTACTCTTCGTGTGTGTGTGTGTTGTTTTATACTAATCCGTATTTTACGTGTACCATTTATTTTTGGTTTTTTCCTCAAAGAATAAATAATACATACACCTAGCATATCCTTGATATAAGCGTAAAATAATGGATAGGTGTCCTCATACATCGATGAACGTAGTACAGCTAATGGTTTTCTCTTATTATTTTGTCTGGTATTTATCAATGATAGTCGACGATGAATTTCAACGTTTAATTTGTTGCACTTTTCAATGTCATCATTTAAAACATCTCCTCTTTTAAAATTCACTAGAAAAGGAGTCATCACTGTATCTGATCCTATACCTCTGAGGAATTCTAAAGTATTTTTGGTCTGAAAAAATAAAAGAAAGATCTGCTAATATCTATATTTCATATCATTATCATCTTATATTTGATTTCATTATCAACTGCCAGACATATGTTTCCTATAATTACCATTGGAAGGCAATGTATCATGTCGATAAAATGTATTGTGTAGAGCCTTTTGCACACGCTTCGTTTTCATTCGTTTGATGTGTTTGAGCTTTTGATTTTGCCATTTGATTAGGGACTTTCCTTTTTGAATTTTCCTCGGAGTTCAGTATTTTTGTGATTTTACTTCTTTCTTCTCAGTCTGTGATGTTTAGATGTTATGTTGCATATAGTTTTAAGGAATAAGATTATAAATTATTTGTAATTTTAATATGTAATAAAACTACTCTTAGGGTAATTAATCATATGAAATTGGAATATGTAATGAAGATTACTCTTACTATTCTAATATTCATACATTGTATGTTTTATCCCTTTGTTATGATCCGCCTCTCTTAAATTCTAATTAAGAGTTTGATAGAAATTTTTCTACATACCGTCTGCATTGAACGTTGTTCAAATATCGGACGGACATGGTATATATTTACAAAGTAAATTTAAAATATTGGCGCCAAGAGTAAATAGCCCCTGCCATTAACATTATTCCAATATATAAATACTAAAGTATAACAACATCAAGAAATGGATTTTTTTCTTATATGTAATGATGTGTTTACCTGTATAATTTCTTCAAATGTCTTCCCAATGATGAACTTCTTTATAAAAGTTTTGGCATACTCCAATGTTGTCTTCTTTGGTAATGGCATGACCGGGAAGCACACAAAATTGTCATCATCTTTGGCAATCGTCAACCAATTACAATACATAAGTTTAGAACATAACAGACAGTGTTCTAAAATTCTTCCATATCCGCATTTATTCAATCCAATAACCTGCAACATGAAAACTTTTTTTTCTGTTGTTAATGTAGTGCATTTTTACTGGTTTGTTCATTTTCTCACTGTTGAAAATCCTCTGATCAGTGGTTGATTCAGAAGCTAAGAACGAGAGTGACAGAAATAGCTACGCAGTGATGAAAATGGGCCCCGTTAAATGATCTTAACATGGACAAAAGAGACAAGTTCGAGGCTCTTGTCATCATATGTGCCTTAGTTATTTCTGAGCATGTTGTGTCATCGACTTACTTATAAAACAGGATTTCTTTCATATATCTTTCATCCTTTTAATAAAATAAGATAAATAAATCTTAGGCAGCTGTTTTGCTATTGGTAAATATTGTTTTTGAATTATTGCAAATGAATTGGCTGCATTTGTATTCCAAGTATAGGAATTTTGACTCTATATCAAAAAAGTATATTTTCTTTATAACATACTTTGTCTTTTTGAAACTACTGCAACATACAGAACTAAAAACTTCAGTTGCTTGCATCACATTACTTGATTTGACAGACATGTTCAACAAACTACTTTAATGTGATTGATCCTCGACAGGATGAACAAACGATTCCGCATATACCTAAACATTACCCGCGTAATGGAAGAACAAATGTTCGCATTGACAAAGCAATTGTAAAAGAAACATCAACTTTGACCAGAGAGATGGAGGAACTAGCCTCGATTTTACCTTGGAGATATTCGTAGAAACTCCAACTTTGCCAGATATATTGGACATAAAACATCAACATTTGCCCAAGTCAGTTCAGATGAAAAAGAATACGAGATCAACCTCAGGAATATCTTGTTTTTTAATACTTAAGGGAAAACTTACGTTATGTGATAGTAGTACACTGACTACGGCTGCACTTTGTCTTGAACCTTCAACACCATATACGCCCATGCTTTCGTTAAATCCGTGATCAATAAAAGATGGCTTTAGCTTTACAAAATGTTTCAGATGTCCATTCCTATAGCAAATAGCACCTGCTGACAAAGGCACGAAACCGTATTTATGTGGATCTATAGTAATCGAGTCAGCCTTCTTTAAACAATCAAGTTGATTCTCCGTATAGTTACTGAGCATTGAATCATACCATTTCTCTTTGGGATTATCTTGACCAAAACTTGAATCAATATTTTCTCGAAGAATGGATGAAAAATAACCACCACATGCCGCATCAGCATGGACAGAAAAATACAATCCCTATAAACAATTAGAAATTGAATCAATACTATGATGTCAAACAAAATAGATGTGTTTTTTTAATTTGAATTTCATTCAGAGTACTTTGAAAATCAGTGACTATGTCTTGCTTACCCTGTCGACGCAGCCGGTCTCTTTCACTTTGAAGTTCATGCCATTCACCCAGTTTTTGTTTGTGACCTTGTCTTCTTAATCGATTTATGAGATTTGAACATCGGTAAACTACAAATGCTTTAATTTACCACCGCATGGCGCCTATCCAACTCTTTTAAATGTCAGTTTTTCTTAGTCAAATTTGGCATAACGTTTTATGATTTTTAGTTTCCAATGATTAAATTCATTGGCTTTCCAGCTGTTATCATTCGAGGTATACTGATGAGTCTTACGTAAACAAAACGCACCTTTTGTGTACAAACTATAAAGTCTTAACAAAATTTAGCACACCGTTTTGAAATGGTTTCCAATGATTTTTAATTTTAATTATGATATTTTCAACCGGTCTGAGGTCCAGTCATTAGTCTAGTGCAGACAATTAAAGAAGGGCGGAAAAGAGGGTTATTCGCAACGTAAATATGGCGTTGTTATCTCCCTTTCATGAGCGTTATCGTCCCCATATTATGACAGGACGTGGCTGTGTTTTTATACATCTCCCACAGCCAAATGGGTTTGTACTGCTCGATGGGACGATACTTCTATACCCTAGTCAATTCCTGAGACATTCTTACATAGTCCCTTAATGGTACAGATGTTCAGTGACTTAAAATATAATTGATACCTTTTTCATATATTTGTCCCTCAGAAGAATGATATCTTCAAGTGGATCCATAGCACCAAATTCGGTCGATCCTTGTATAGATACTACAGCTATCACTGAGATTTTTCGTTCCTCACAATCACAAAGGACTTTATCCAATTCTAAAATAAACTTCATCCTATAAATCAAACTGAAAGCGTAGAGAAAAACCCATACTGTCGATGAAAATTTGTTTGTGTGACCTTGCATTATCTCTAATGGAAGTTATCTCCCTCAGTATGTTGTGCGTTCGTCATCATACGATTTTGTCGTATTTTGTTCGTGTTTCTTGCCTGATTATAGGTATCATTTTAGAGCATCATGAATTGCATAATATGGATAAACAGTAATAATTTTCTACAGGATAGTTTTTTTTTGTAGAATTTAAGTTATTTCAAGCTCTTTAATAAAAATTGATAACGTTTTGTTTTTTACTCACTTTGTGCGTTTAAACGGCCATGTTCATCTGTTGGTACTTGTATGAGTTGATCTTTCCCTAAACCAAGCAGGACCATAGCCTTCAGCAGTGAGTAATGGGTTGATGCAGAACATATAACAACTGGTGCTTCTTTCAGCTTATACATCGTCATGAAGTTGTACCATCCGAGAGATGATAAAGAATACTTGTCTATCATTTTGTTTAATTTCTCACCATTCACGTGATTGCCGATAGATTTTGCCATATCGACAATGCAATCAATATCCATGTTGATAATATTCCAAATGGAAACTTCGGTAATATTTTGTAAAGAAATTTTCTCTGGATCATAAATCTGCTAAAAGATATAAGCTCACAATGATACATGTATACCTTACTGTTGAAATTAGTTCAGCAATTGGTATGATAACTTTTGTTTATTTAAGGAATGACTGTAATATTTTTTCTGTCTATGAAGAAATAACATCAAAAATGTGGTGCACACTAAATAATCCGCGTAGCGGGTTATTTTAAAGTGTGCACCACATTTTTTATGTTATTTCGAATAGACAGAAAAAATATTACAGTCATTTCTTATAATTTAATTCTTATTTCCATTTCAAACCGCAGTAAATCATGAAAAAACGTTGATGACATCAAGGTCACATGACAAAATTATGTCTATAAGCTGATTAACAAAACAACGTCAGCCAATCGGAAGACGCGTTACATCCAAAATTAAATTATTATTAATTATTAGGAAGTTATGTTATTTTTTCATGTTATTGTCTAAAGCTTGGAAATCTTTTGAAGGAACACATAGACTAAATTCACAAATTTCAAATTTTGAATCATCTACATCTTACTAGAAGTTCAGACATTAAGGTAGCACTACAGTCAGAATTTTCTGACACCAACCAACAGTCTTTAAAGATTAATTTCTCCAAAACTACTGAATGGATTTTTAAAATATTTAACTCATTTTAAAGCTGAAATATTATGATAAATTTATTTTTTGTATGATAAATCTCAAAATATATCTCATTATTTGCCAAAAAAGTAGTCTTCCAACTTGGATGAAAATGGCACATTCAGGTTAAATGGTAGTAAAAATTTGTTTTCATCCCTTTAATTACCCATATACAAGCTACAAAACTGTGTCTCAGATTTTTGATATAAGCCTCCAGTAAGAAGATATATTGATTTAACTGCTGGATGCCAAACCTCATTTCACCTTTCATCTTTGGAGACCTATAAATTCATTTAGAAACAAATTATCCAAAAACTGGGACACGGTATTGTAGAAAATACTCCCTTTAATCACATATATCAAAGTCAGGCCAAAGGGGGTACCCATAAAGTTTATATTTTCATTTTTCCTAACAAATCTCATGAAAAATTGTTCTGAGAAATGACCTAAAAACGGATTTTCCCCCTTAGAACCCCTATAAATGCAACATAAATACAAAAATTCCACTGGGAACACCCCAGGAGTGTTCTGACACCATTACTTTATCAATAGAACCACACACTTTGTGTCTTTGATGCTCTAATGCTGTAAATTTTGCATTATGTGTGGCACTGTGCAACACAAACTTGGCATTTGGCGGGAGTTTGACGTCACAGATTTGACCAACATCTGTGATGTAGTAATTAAATATAGACAAGGCTCCGCCTCTGTCCAGACAGTCTAAGATAAGAGAATAACAGGATTAACCAGCTGCATTTAATCAATATTTAACATCAGTATATTCTCACTATAAAGAATAATTTTCATTTTGTATTTCAAAAAAGAAATATACTATTACTGAAATTAGCTAGAACGTTAAAATTGTGCATCAAAAGACATGTTCATAAAAAGATCCAAGACCATCCCCTTCTTTAAAAAAAGACAATCCCACATGATTTTTGAGTTTTATGGAATTGAAAAATTTCAAATAAACTTAAAATTGGTTAAAATGCCTAAAACTGTATTTAAATGTAGAAGACCAAATAGAAGAAATTTATACAGGCAGTCAGAGGCTTTCAAAGATACTTTCACGCTTTTTTCCAATTTTTGTTTTCATTTTTGGTAGATTTTTTCCCTTTAGATTTTTTCCTTTGCATACCTTTTTCTTTTCCTCTGTTTATTAACATGTTATATAAATTACTTTTGTTGCAATACAATGAGATAAGACCACAATATTTATCTTGTGGTCGGGGATTAACAGCTGGACACTGGTATCAACAGATGATTGACATATTTGCCCCTCCAAAATGCCTATATATTTAGATTAATTACCATGTGCTTTTATTTACATAAGTTCATTATCAATTTACTCCCTGCTGTGATATGATAATGACTTTGGGATTTTTACAAACTGTGCAGAATAATACTTAATTCAAAATTATGTGATAAAAAAAATATCTTCAAAAAATCATTGTTAGACTGTAGTGCTACCTTAAACTCATTCATTTCTTTGCTAGTTGCATAAAAAAAACTTTAATGTATTAACAGGCAGATCCAAGTTGGAGTTCGCCATCCTTTAAACCAGTATCAAGAATCTTCTTTAAATTTTTTTTCCCGTCTTTTCAACATCATTGTTAAAGTCATCCAAGTAATGTTTTAAATGTTCAATTTGCCTAGATATATTTGATGTTTTTTTATTATTATTCCATTTTTATACATTGTAGACCAGACAATATAGAGATATTCATTTTTATGTATACATTTTTTTGGTCTTTAGCATTTTTCAAGACGTAATGTCCAGCCGAACTCTTACGGGTGATACATGTGGAACATTTTTATCATTCCGGAGCATCTGAGATTACCCCCGGTTTTTTTAGTGGGGTTCGTGTTGCTCAGTCTTCAGTTTTCTATGTTGTGTTTTGTGTACTGTTGTTTGTCTTTCCGTCATTTCGCCTCTCTTCTACTATGAATATAAAATATTTCTTATATAAGGGATGTAAAACAATCTCATGTCAGGGACCATATCTGGTTTCAATCAAAACAATACTATGACGAGCTGTCAACAGTATTTATTAACAGGACTACGACGGTTGTCAATAGAAAGTTGTTAATTATTAACACTGCGACGAGCTGTCAATAGTAAATTATTTATCAACAACCTTCGAACGAGCTGTAAATAATAAGTTATTGGTTAACAAACTCCGAACGAGTTGTGAATAGTAAGTTATTGATAAACAACCTCCGAACGAGCTGTAAATAGTAAGTTATTCATTAACAACCACCGAACAAGCTGTAAATTACGGCAAGCCGTTCTCGTCAAAACTATGTTTAAACCCTTTTTCGAAAAATTACACACTGAGAGTTAACAAAAAACCACAATGAGATTTAATAAACTGCTTCGCTGAGCGCAGCTGGATACGCCCGCAGAGGTCCAACCCTGAACAGTTGGGGCAAAAATGGACACAATATTTAAGTTTGATACAGGTCTGAATTTGGATTGTAATTAAATATTTAACATATTATAGGTTTCTGAATAAATGTAGTCAAAGAACTTGAAATTGGTTATATGAATTTAATTTATATTCAATTAAAGATTTCTTGCTGTTGTGCAATACACTGTGATGTTGCGCAATACTTAGTAAATCTGTTGTCAGACTATACACAAATAAAGTTCAATCAATTCTCAATGTCATATTAGAAATTTATGAAAATGTAAAGGGAGCTTACATCAATAGATATAAACAATTCACCAAAGTTTCATGAGAATTGCTGACAGCATTTTTGAGTTATTGTCCGAAAACTGGAAAATCCCCCCTTTTTTAATGAATAAAACCCCATAACTCAGAAATGATAAATGAAAAATTTATAAAATTCTAAACGGAGCTTACATCAATAGATATAAACAATTCACCAAAGTTTCATAAGAACTGCTGAAGTTATTGTCCGAAAACTGGAAAATCCCCCCTTTTTTAATGAATAAAACCCCATAACTCAGAAATGATAAATGAAAAATTTATAAAATTCTAAACAGAGCTTACATCAATAGATATAAACAATTCACCAAAGTTTCATAAGAACTGCTGAAGTTATTGTCCGAAAACTGGAAAATCCCCCTTTTTTTTTGATGAATAAAACCCTGTAACTTGGAAACGTAAAATCTAAAATATATAAAAATTGAAGGTGAGCTCATGTCAATAGATATAAACAATTCACCACAATTTCTTGCAAGTTGGTGAAAGCATTCTTGAGTTATTGTCCGAAAACTGGAAAATCCCCCTTTTTTTAATGAATAAAACGTCATAATTCGGAAACGTAAAATCTAAAATTTATAAAAAACGAAAGGGAGCTCACGTCAATAGATATAAACAATTCACCTAAGTTTTATACAAATTGGTAAAGGAGTTTTTGAGTTAATGTCTGACATGTTGACGACGGACGGACAGACGGACAAAGGACAAAGGGACCATAATACGTCCCGTAAACGTGCGTATAAAAACCTAAAATAACACACTGAGAAATCGAAATTACACACTGAGATTACAAAAAATAAAAAACACACACTGAGAATTTAAAATTACACACTGAGATTTTAAAAAGACACACTGAGATGAAATAAATTGAAAAATACACACTGAGAATTGTTAAGTACACACTGAGATTTCAAAAATACACACTGGGATAAATTAACTCGAATAATTCAAGCCCTTTCCGTGTCTGATTTTCTCCCACACGAGGGCTTGAACTCCTTATGATCATTGGCCGCGTCGCCTGCTCTCTGTGAGAGCGAGCCAATCGGCGGCAATCAGGATAATGAGTCTGCGCAACTGTCTTGTGATTGTCTTACCAAACACGTGTGTTCAATTAACACAAATCCGAAAATAATTAATTAACATCAATTAACATCAATTAACATCAGTTTACATCATTTAACATCAATTAACATCCGGAACTCCTCCTTCTTTAGCTGCCAACTTAAATCAAAATTCCCATATTGCATAGCGGTGTGAATTTTCCGGTTGACGGTCTTTATCGAGGAAGACGTTCAGGCGTTAATGTAGCCTTCGTAGATCAGCGGAATATAACGACTGAATTATTCGGGTTAGGGATTAATATGTACATTACCAATGAATATTCATGAGATGAATAATTCAACAGATTAATATATTGGTCTCCCAAACTCTAATGCGGTTCCTTCAACCAACATTCGTAATAAATTTCAAGACTTAACATCATTTTTTGCTAACTCATATTCATAAGTTTGTTGCCTATAATTCAGAATATTACTAACAGTGTATCGGGATTTTTTGCTTAAAACTGTTTAAGCATGGGTCCCTTTTCAAAAGTCTTTCACCCTGATTTCGCAAGGAAATTTTTTTATATTTTTGTAAGTTTATATGCTATAATAGGCA